AATCAATGTATTTGTTGACCTCTTGATTACACAATTCGAGAATCTCATCTGGTGTTTGAACACCACAAAAAATACTCTTGATAAGTTCGAAATTGCTCAATGAAGAACAAGGATTTTGAAAACAAAATAATGCATTCTTATTAATCTCTCAAGTGATGAATGTCTTTACAATGAAGATGAAGAAATATATTTATACTAACTCAAAAGACCTAAGAAAACGGAATTAAAGTCCTATGGTATTAAAAGTTTTCAAAAACAAGAATTCTAAATAATGTAAAATATCTCGTGCAAAAAAGGAAAATTTTGGTCTCGCCAAGTACCGTGCAACTGCAGCACCACGTGGTACTCCTTATTGCAGTTGCACAAGTCATTTGTGCTATGGCCCTTTGGTCTCAGTAGACCACCATGTGACCACATGGTGGTTAACATTGTGCAGTCGCACCGTGTTGGACCAAAACTCCAAGTTCGGCTGCTTGTATCGTGTTGACCCAAATGGTTTCGAGTCTCGACCCCAACATGAAACTTGCTTTTTCTTGTGCCACGATTGATATTCCATCAATTGTTGATTGCACAAGTAATCCCCTTCGCTTGATTGACCCACTTTGCCCTGATCGCATCATCAGTCCTCCTTCGATAATCAACTGATCTTTCCTTGTCTTCGTTGGGCTTATCTCTTGGATCACATCAATCTTCCTATGAAGAGACCAGTTTAAATCCTACAAACCATTTGTCAGTGTATCCCTTTAAGCATTCAAATAATTCTAGATAGGGCAAATATCATTTGAGGATTATGATCTCGTGTTCAAGCCTATTTTTTGATTACAGTGTTCTTGCTGATATATTTAGTTTTCTTTTCCCATTCGCTATATTTTTTGCAACATTCTCAAATGATATCCATGGAGAATGAGACAACTATGACTACTATCAACCTCATGAATCAAGACCTCATAAGGTTGAATCAATTTAATGGAACGAACTTCACTCAATAACAAGACAAATTGAAGTTCGTTCAAAAAGCAATGACTATCTCCTACATTCTTGATCCGGATTTGGCATCACCATCGGAACCAACTAAAATGTCAAGAGGATGAGTTAATTTGTAGGGGTCACATCCTCAATCTACTTTCAGACAGATTATACAATTTATACACCAACACCAATTCGACAAAAAGAGATTTGGAATGCATTGAAAAAAAAAAAAATACAAAGCCCAGGAGAAAGGAACCAAGAAGTTCCTAATATCATGGTAATTCGACACTTTCGCCGAGTACATGAATTGGAAGTTTAAGAATGTTAAAGTGGATTCTGTTTTGTATGGAGGATTTTTTGTGCATTATATTAGCTTTCCATCAATGGTGTAATTGATAAGTATAAAGCATATTTCTAGAACCATTCTTTTCTCATATTCAATTTTCAGCTTTCAATATTAGTTTTCAATCAATGGTGTACTTACACATTGGTGTAATTAATAATGATAGATATGGAAAATGAAAAATGATGTAATTAATAATTTTTTTTAAATTTTATAATTGGTGGCAAGTGGTACTTAATTATACAATACACTATCTTCGGTGTTATTTTGAAAAATCATGACAAACTTGGGTTAAAAGACAAATATTTAATCCACAATGTAAAATTTACAATGCAAACCTAAAAGCCGATCAGAGTAAGAAATTTTCAACCCTTTTAAGCTCAAGAAATCAAGGAAAATCGAAGATGAAAAGAGGAAATCTTGCACAAATCAAGTTCAAACAAAATAAAGAGCTACTTCAACTACTTTTTATTCAAAGTTATCTTCTCCAAATCTACATATAATCAATCAAAATCTAAAGGTTGGAATTATTTTTTATTTTGTTATTCAATTAGTTTATATTTTGTTTGATTTTGATGTAACGCTTATTTGTATTTTTGCACGTGAATTAAGATATTAAATCTTGAAAGTTACATTCTCTATCATTGCAGTCTGACTCATTTGAATTCTTTAGAATCAATTAAAGAAATGCATATGTATTTGTAAAAAATTAAATATAATATTACATTAAAATGTGAAATGATGTAACAATTTATTTGTACTTTTGCCATATGAGTTAATTTGCTAGAAATTAAAAGACGTTGTTTGAAAAAAATACTCGCACTATTTCATTATATATATATATATTCAAGTCACTTTTTTGAGAAACTAAGTTTTGATAGTGTTAAAAAGAGACTAACTTGTCATTATTATCATTAATATACAATTCCATCAATAAAACAACAAACATATCCTTATATTTATAAGTGAATTTTATGAAGTTCAACACTTTACTTTTTTGAAAGAGCCAGTGTATATCTCTCTAAAAAGTATTGTCACTTTTTCATAGAAAAGTAACATATCATGTCCCTTTAAACTAATATTCTAGTGATATGATTAACTCTTAATCCTATAAAGAGAGAAAAGAAAGATTATTAAACAAAAAGTGACAAGAAATTCAAAAAGGTCATAAAAATTTTTAAAAAAAAAAAAAAAAGGAAGTTACAAAATCTCTAAAAGTGACCATCTCAAAAAAGTGATAAAATCAATTTGGACTTGATTAATATGAGAATTTGTAGTTCTAATCTATTTTAAGAGTATTAATCTAATATTTAATTTTTTAAGGGTAGTAAGCCTAATTCTCCCTTGTTTTGGTTAGGCATTAGATGGCCCATAGATTGCCCCATTTATTTAATTTTCCTCTTTCTGGGGAGAAAATTTTACTTTACCTAAATGATAAATCAATTTTCACTTTGGCTCATGTTTAAGCTCTATTATTTAAAAAACTCTTTTTTTTTTCAATTTATTTTCAATCACACTTTTTTTAATAAAATAATTTTAAATTTAAATTTCAAAATCTTTCCTACAATTTAATTACACATTTTCCAAAAAATCGCCGTTGTAAAATTCGTTCTCTCAAATTGGACCCAAACAAACCCTTTCGGTTCAATTTATTTTATTTTCCAATACTGCATTACACACTTTGTAACTATGATTGTTATTCATTTTATAACAATTTAACAATTGTAAAATAATGTATTAAGGTTGTTAATAATTTGTGTTACAATTGTTACACAAAACATTTGTTAAAGTTGTGTTTCATCGTCACCACCACCGTCACTGCCACCCCTACCCCCACCACCACCACCGCCACCGCCGTTTCCAGCAACATAGCAACCACCTCCCAAAATCTCCATACCTACCCTCACATTTCACTACCATCACTATCAACAACCACTTTCATCTACAGCTGAATTCATCTGTACAGAAATGGACTTTACAGAAATCTCAAATGGGGTGGGCTCCATGTGAATAAAATAATGCAAAAAAACCCCCCCTTCCCCCTTTGTGTCTTATCTGGAGGGTTTCTGTAACCCCTCCTTCTGTACATGAAGAAGTGCTCTTTATCTACACTGATCTACAGTCACCAATATATTTTCACAAGCATGAAGCCTACTCCACTTCAAAAATATTGCCCGCTAACTACTTTCTCACTACAACCAATAAAAAATCTTATGCGCCACCACCCCTACCATCTCCTCATCAATCTGCACCGCCTTTGCAACTACCACCACTTTCCCCGTCTTGCCACCACAACAACAAAAATCATATCTAAAGGTGGGACTATAATTGCAGAAAAAAGAATGCAAAAAGAATATGACCTTTTTTTTCGTTTTTTTTTAGTAGTCTTGTTCAGAGATGGTGGTGGTTTGTCGATATTTTTGGTGCCTTGAAATGGCGACTTGTGAGGTACAACTTGAATGGGAAAAACTTTGCTTCAAGATAGTAGTTTGACGATTAAATGGTAGTTTAAGAATTAAAAAAGTGGCGCCCCCCAGGGCACATTCGAATTGGTGGAACAATCACTATGGCGGGCTTGCAACCTCAGCGTGGAGAGTTCGATTCCTGATCAACACAGTGATGAGAATTTTCTTGGGGCCAGGAGTATAAACCAAGTGGGAATCTGGGAGCCAACAAGGGCATAACCCGCAATTTACCTCCTCGAGTCACTGAGGGGCCGGTGGCTAGAGGTCCAGGATTTAGTTTGGCAAAACTGGGATACCTGGGTATCAAAAAAAAAAAAAAAAGAATTAAAAAAGTGGCATAGTACATTTTGGGATGGGGTTAAGTTTCCACTTTTTTTGGTGATAGATAAATCACCGTCCAGAATGTAACTTTTCGTTATTTATTTATTTTTATTCGTTTATTGCCTGAGTGACAAACTTGGAGGGAAAATTGGTATCCTAACTTGTCAGATGGTTTGATGTCAAAATATCTTATTTTCCATATCAGTTTCTAAAAACGTTGGCGTCGTGAAAATATTAAATATTTGACCCAATCAGAGATGGAAAAGATGT